GGCTGTAAGATCCAGGGCGGAGGCTGTAAGATCCAGGACTAAGGCTGTAGACCCAGGACTGAGGCTGTAGATCCAGGACTGAGGCTGTAGACCCAGAACTGAGGCTGTAGACCCAGGACTGAGGCTGTAAGATCCAGGACTGAGGCTGTAGACCCAGGACTGAGGCTGTAGACCCAGGACTGAGGCTGTAGACCCAGGACTGAGGCTGTAGACCCAGGACTGAGGCTGTAAGATCCAGGGCGGAGGCTGTAAGATCCAGGGCGGAGGCTGTAGACCCAGGACTGAGGCTGTAAGATCCAGGACTGAGGCTGTAGACCCAGGACTGAGGCTGTAGACCCAGGACTGAGGCTGTAGACCCAGGACTGAGGCTGTAAGATCCAGGACTGGTCTGGTTTGTACGTGTTTGGTGCAATAATAGTTAATTACTGAGAATGTACTCTACCTTCTACAGACATTATGTGATCATAACTGAGGGTAAATTCCTTTGAGTCAGTGATTGTAGCAGCTGCCAAACCTGTGGGACTGGCTTCCTGGACTGAGTCAGACCGTGAGACCAGAGCTGTCAGTCAGCCCACCTGTTGTTAAAGAATCACGTCTTGTGTCTGCAGTTAGAATATGAGTGATAATGTCTGAATCAACTGGAATTTAATGCAGGCAGGGAAAGTGTTTTATAAGTGATGTTTGGACAATGTTCACTTAAACTGGGGAGGCTATTGGTGCTACTGGAGGAGTGCTAACGTTTTGAAAAATGCTAACAAAGAATTCAGCATCTCACATTGGACAGGAGCAGAGACAATGGTCTGAACCAAGCGGCTACTCCACCTCTGATGCTGTGACCTTTAGGTGCATTTTAATAGTGTTGTTAGCCATTTTTAGAATTCTCTATTTATTTGTTTTGTTTGTATGGATGGATGTTTTTCTGCTGCTACTGGACTACTATCTCTCTGTACCTATATAAGACCACTGCAAGGCTTTGTCCTGTAGCCACACTTAAATAAATATTTAATCAGAATTATTTATTTGTTTAAGAATGTTTGTCATGTGAGTAAGTCACAAACAAGGAAATAGCTTTGGCTGTCTTTAGTTTCCTCATTCTTGACAGACAAGATCATACAGAAAATTTCCGTTGTTTGTTTTATGAACTTCGTTTTTTAATTTTTCCTTAATAAGTTGCCTTTACTTAATGTTCTGTCGCAGTCTGAATAAATAAATTAATAGTTAAATTAAAAATAGTGTAAGGCATACAAATAAAGAATCAATATAACATTTCTTAAAATTGCTATTATATGCAAGTACACCAAGACGTTTAGCAGTGCAGTAAAGTGACAGTAGTGACCATAGTAACGGTAAAGTGACGTCATACAGGACGGGGGACAGTGATGTTTTCATGAGTCCAAATGCAGATTGTCACCACTGCACCAGGACACCAGCCGGTCCACCTCCTCCTGTAGCGGACTCGTTGGAGATGAGTCCAATGAGGGTGGTGTCATCCGCGAACTTGATCAGCTTCAGATTTGTGGCTGGAGGTGCAGAGGTTGTTGTACAGGGAGAAAGAACACAGCCCTGTGGAGCTAGCAAGCTGTTTTTGAGCCTGCTTTAAATTATTGTGGTCTTTTAAGTTAGGTCCTCTCCACACTGTCTGCAACAAGATGTTTGGAGAGAGACCAGGGAGAGACCCTGGGAGAGACCAAGGAGAGAGAGAGAGACCCGAGAAAGACCAGAGAAAGATACTCGAGAAAGACCAGAGAGAGAGACCAGAGAACAAGACCCGAGAGAGTTCCGGGAGACCCGAGAGAGACCAGAGAAAGATACTCGAGAAAGACCAGAGAGAAAGACCCGAGAGAGACCAGAGAAAGATACTCAAGAAAGACCAGAGAGAACAACCCGAGAGAGAGACCCGAGAGAGAGACCCGAGAGAGACCAGAGAAAGATACTCAAGAAAGACCAGAGAGAACAACCCGAGAGAGAGACCCGAGAGAGAGACCGGAGAATGAGACCAGAAAGATACCCAAGAGAGAGAGAAAGAGAGACCAGGGAGAAAGATCCTCAGGAGAATCATTCGACACCTTCTCTCCTCTGTGAGAACTGAGGCTTATGTAACTGAATGGTGCTGAGCAAACGCCAGAGTGGAACTCCAGACCCTGAGAAGCAGCCTGGCCTCACAAAGACCCTCACCTCTCCCCAACCCAGCAGTGGACAGAGCTGCAGAGACAAACTCATCGCGTTGAGAATCAGATAATGCCCTTGTCCAATTTCCATGGATTGTTCAGATACATGTGAGCCAGGCTTGTCGGCTGTTGGGAATCCATTTACCACAATCAGGTCAACCGATCTGCTCTGGACTTTTCCTCGTTCAGTGTGAGCTCCCTCAGATGGGGAGGAGGGCGGAGGAGGAGGTGGGAGTAAGTCACTAACGTCTCACACACGATTCAAACTGTGTGTGGGACGTATTACTGATACTAAAACAACAAAGTCAATTTTCTTGCTTTTTTCTAGCTGTAAATGTTACTGCAGTGGCAAGGCAAAGAAAGTTTATTAGTAAAGCACAATTCATACTCAAGGCGACTCAGAGTGCTGAAAAAGATAAGATAGCACTGTTTTTAACCTGGATTTAAACATGTCGGAGAAGTGGCCTGTCTCACATTTTCAGGAAGATTGTTCCAGATTTTAGATGCATGAATCTGAAATGCAGCCTCCCCATGTTTAGTTCTGACTCTAGGCACTAACAGGAGTCCAGTCCCTGTGCTCCTCAGAGTTCGTTCATATGGCACAAACAAGTCACTAATATATTTTAGTGCAGAGACCTGAAGCCTGGTTCTAGTCAGTCAAAGTCAATGTCACCAACACCAGCTGCCCAAAGTGCTTCACAGGCAAGCAAGCAAGCAAAGTTTATTTATATAGCACCTTTCTCAGACAGAAGATCACAAAGTGCTTCACATCAACAAGCAATAATTAAAAACACAAGAAAAAAAAAATTACACAATCAAACAATAGTGGAGACAGGCAGGAGCCAAAAACAACTATTTCAGTTTATTTCTTGTTGAGAATTATATAATTTTGGGCCAGCCAAGTTCTCACTTCCTGGAGACAATCTAGCAGTGTTGTAATTGACACTGACGTGGGTTTTAAAGGCAGGTAGATCTGCAGTTCATCAGCATAGGCATGAAAGGAGACATTGTGTTTCTTTAGAATATCGCCAAGTGGCAGCATATACAAAGAAAAAAGGGCGCGGCCTAAAATGGAGCCCTGTGGAACACCACAATTGAGGGGTGCCAGACCAGACTTGTAGGGCCCAAAGTGGACAGAATAACACCTGTCACCAAGATAGGTGAACCAGTTGAGCCAGTTTAATGCAGTGCCTTTAAAACCAGCGTGGTGCTCCAAAAACAACTGTCAAGTCTAAAAGAACTGAAATGGCAGGAGAACCAGATTCAGCTGTTGAAAGCAGATTATTAAAATATCTGAGCAGTTCAGTCTCCGTGCTTTGTAGAGCTTTAAAACCTGATTTGAATGTGTGAAAGATGCCATAAGTGTCCAGATGCGAGTCAGGTCTTGAGCTGCTGCGTTTTGTACTGCAGTTTGGACAGACCTGTGAGCAGCCATTACAATAGTCTAACCTACTGGAGACAAATTCACAAATAAGAATCTCTAAGTCTGCTTTAGACACTATGTTTTGGATTTTGACAATCAAATACATACACCATAATTTTTTTGGTGGTAAAAAGCTTCTGATATTACTGATTTGATGTGGCTATAAAAATGTAAGTCTGAATCCAGTATTACCCCTAGATTACTGACCTGATTTGAAGGTTTTAGGGAGATAGACAGTGTATGTATATACTGTATGTATGTATATGTATATATATATATTATATATATATATATATATAAAATTATACACACACACATATATACATTGACTTTAATGTGTAAACATGTTCTCCTAACAGCACAGATTGCACTGTCAAATCTAATCCAATCAATCCGTCGCACCCTGATCAGTGTCACAGAAACATGACGATAGAAACTGCACTGAAGAGATTGATCAAACTTCCTCTTTGGCCGCTGACGTGTCCAGGATAAAGCCATGATTTGATCTGCAAAGACTTCCCAGGCGTGCAATGCACTAAAACTAACGATTTCCTGGTTGTTTCTAGGCTCGTCTGAGTCTGAGGAGGCAGCAATCCCCTACCTTTTACTGCCACAGTTTAATGTTGGGCAATTATAAGCAAATTTCCAGGCCCGGACCTCGAGAGAATTTTCCCTGGACCTCTGATTTTTTTTGTTCAAATGGACATAATTACAAGTATATGTAATTGAGGCGTGCGAAGATTTTGCGGGGGTATAGCACATAAACCACTGTAACCATGCTGATGGTTGCTATGGCAGACAATCTGGTGGATCTTGTTTCAATGGAAATGACTTGCAAATTCTTTTATGGAAGTTTGTTTTTATACAGTTGCCATTGTGATGGTTGCCAGGGTAGTCGCCGTAGCAATTTCCATAGCAACGGCTGCTATGGCTGTTCTTATGAAGATGGTTGCTATGGCAATTGTCACCATGGCACCCTTTTTGGAAGTGTGTTTCCAGCTGCCATAGTGATGGTTGCCAAAGTGATTGCCATAGCAATGCCATCATAATGGTTGTCATGGTGACAATAGTCACAATGGCAATTGTTGCTCTGGCAATAGTCACCATGGCAACCACACAGTCTCCAAAAACATTGGCCCCCTGCTTCATCATTGTACATAAAGATTTTATAGTGTCTGTTTGAATAGAACAGTCTCCTCTTCCAATCTGAGCCACAGTTTGGAAGTTATGACTCTTATTGACTGACGCTCATGACGATGTGCAGTTGTTGTAGACCTCACAAATTCATGCTTTCAAGTTGTTTAGTGCATCAATATCTGGTGTATCCTTCTTGAGTGATACATGAAGGATAAACCAGTGTTCTGACATGCAGAGGACAGTGGGACAGATGGTGTGGTTGTGTTTTGCAGGAGGGGGTGATCTCGGTCAAAGACGTGGATCTGGTGATGTCAGAGGGACTGGGCATGCGCTACGCTTTCATCGGCCCAATGGAAACCATGCACCTGAACGCACCACAAGGTAACAACAGATGTGTCTCTAATCATTAGTTGTGACTGTTAAACTGATAGTCTGGAACTCAAAATGAATTACACATTTTAAGAATTGTATTAAATTGACCTCATGGCCATAAATATTGATACAAAACAACTCATTTTATGAATTCTAATATTACAGGTAAGTCCCGCATTCCCTTCTCTTAGCTATAGCTCAGAATCCATGATGCCGTCCACGTTAACCAACCAAGTGATGCCAAGGGCTGTCAATCATCGGCGCTGATGCTCGTAGCTGCGCATGCTCAGTTGTTTGTTTTCACGTAGCCTCCGAATCAAGCCTTTATAGGCTCTGGAACTACATGAAAACTGAACCAAGAATTCTGAACATCCGCGCTGAGTTACCCATTTATATACTGAACCCATATCCATAATCATTTATATACTGAACCTATATGAGTGTGTTCACAGTAAAGTAACAAGTATCTGGACTTTAGAAGGTTATAACTTAAAAACTAAAATTAGTTTCGAAGATTGGAAAAAAGATTTCAAACACAGACACATTGAAGAAATAGTGTGGAAAAAATCAAAAGGAAAGATTGACATAAAAATGTTTAGCAACATTTTAAACGACCAAATGAGCCTCTGATTGGACCATTCTACTGTGACGCCAGTTACATAGAAAATAAAATGTCCTCAGTCTGAAAAAGCAGACGATGAAATCCCACAATATTTACATGGCTAACACAACATAAGTAAATCACTTGATTATAAAAAGGAATCGTGAAAAAATAAAAAATATTTAATTAATTAAATGACCCCTGAAAAATGTATAACGGACGTGATGAGGACGGTCCTCTTTTCTCTAAACATTAAACTTGAGAAGAAAAAAAAATCTGGTCTGTTTTCACATTTAATTGGTTGACAATATGAAAGTATCACTTTGCATTTACTTTGTGTAAAAAAATAGAATCTCTGAATCAAATGTGGACATCTGAAAATACCTATCAAACTTCCACAAAGCTCATTCCGTCAAATCATCACGTCCGTTACATAAAATAAACAGGGCCGCTATAGGAAACTTGTCTAATGTATAAAACAGTCATGTTCCAGAAACGTCTAATGGACAGAGGAGGTGTTTGGAAACACGAAAAACATAAAATATCTTCTGATTATTAAAATCCAATTTTTGGCCTTTTGTCACACTTTTGTGCCCTTTAGTGTGAACAAGCCCACATCCATAATCATTTATATACTGAACCTATATCCATAATCATTTATATACTGAACCTATATCCATAATCATTTATATACTGAACCTATATCCATAATCATTTATATACTGAACCTATATCCATAATCATTTATATACTGAACCCATATCCATAATCATTTATATACTGAACCCATATCCATAATCATTTATATACTGAACCTATATCCATAATCATTTATATACTGAACCCATATCCATAATCAGATCCTCTGCAGATGTTCCTATAATGTTCAATCAACGTTAATAGCACTTCCGGGTTTACAGCGATCGCTTTTTTTCATGCATTAAAACATTATATTTGTCATGAAAACGTTAACAAATACTTCTGAAAACCTGCGTGCATGTGTATTAATAATGTATATGTATAATGTGTTCTCAGATTAACGTTTAAATATGTTACGGAAACGTAGGCATAGACCAATCAGAAAGGAAGGGGGAGGGAGCTTGGGTCGTTTTTTTCAAATCCTGTACCTCGCTCTCTTTTTTCTGACAAACTCCAGACAATCACTTTAAAGATAGAGCCATTGGTCCATGAGGGGCAGATGACCAATGTCCATAAATGTTGTTGAATGTGGAGTGTCCTAGATCACCCCCACTGTTCATAGACCCTCCTGCAATTAACTCCAACTGTAATATGGACAAAAGCTGTAAAGTGGACCGACACAGATCTCCCAGACTCTGCGGTGGGAGAGGCTCAGAGAACAGAAAGCAGAGCAGATCAAGCCCATTCTCAGGCAGAGACATGGAGAATATCTAAGAGGGGTGCGAAAGCCTTGCCCCCTCTGTCCACTCACACACAAAGGCGGCTTTTGATGCGCAGTGAAAGACCGCAGTCAGGGCGTAATGCACACCGCGGGCGCTGCTGCTGCGCGCTGTAACCCAGGAGGCTCGGCTTCACAGAGCTGCATTAGAGAGCTCCATCAGAGAGCTCCATCAAGTCCTGGCTCTGCCCCTGCTCCATGTTCACACAGCAGAGCAACTGTCCTTGTGCCAGCACCAGTCTGAGGTTTCACCAGCAGCAGAGAGCTCTTCAACAGGATCCAACACCGGTCACTGAAAATAAGGGCCTTAAATGTCAATGTGGGTTTACTGCAAATGGCAAATACAATGAATCCGATCTGATCTTGAAAAGTAAGTTGTCCGGTAATAGATGGATAGATAGTTTATTGTTACTCTTTGGATAAATGCAGGTGCCCTCAGCAGAAACACACCCATCCGTACAAAAAAACATAATTCTACAAGTAGCTAAAAGTAGTAATATAATGCAACAGCACTTTAGGTCACAGCAGCAGAGGTGGTGTAGCCGCTGGGGAGGAGCTGCTTCCTCTCCTCTGATAGACCCATCGCTTGGTTTAGATGTGAGGCCGTTATAAAGAGTGGTTATGATCCATCATTTATGTTGATTTAGGCCTGATTTTCATAATAATAACAAAAAATGCATCACTTTTACATAGCTCCCTTTCAGACACTCAAAGTTGCTTCACATGACATTGCAGGTGTCCACCAGCAGTATTCTTTCACTCCAAACGCGGTGGTGATAAACTACTACTGTAGCCACTGCTGCCCTGGGGCGCACTGACGGAGGCAAGGCAACCAGTCTGTGCCATCAGCCCCTCCCACCACCACCAACCATTCACACACTCTAGACTCATTCTAATTTGGGTGAAGTGTGTTGCCTAAGGACATAACAGCAGTTTGGCACTTTACAGCCGCCCCACTGTGGCACCTGGTGTTCCCAGAGGTCTCCCATCACAGTACTAACCAGGCCCTGCCCTGCTTAGCTTCAAAGGTCCAGCAGCAGTAGCAGTAGTAGTAGTAGCAGCAGTAGCAGCAGTAACAGTAGTGGTAATAGTAGCAGTAGTAGCAGCAGCAGCAGTAGTAGTAGTAGAAGCAGCAGCAGCAGCAGCAGTCGCAGTAGCAGTAGAAGTAGTAGTAGCAGCAGCAGTAGCAGCAGCAGCAGCAGTAGCAGCAGTGGTAGTAGAACATGTGGATATCTCTCATGGTCCATGTGAGTGCAGAGTGGAACATACATGATATTTCTGTCACTGGTCTGTACCAACAGACTGTAAACACCAGTCAGCTGATGGAGCGCGTACGCACACACACACACATATGGACTTGCTCACGCACATCCACACACACTCCTACACACACACATACATATAGACTTGCTCACACACATCCACACAGACATGCATTGTAGATTAAGCCCCTTCATAATTAGTTTGAACAGTCACTAAAGTTATTCGATATTGTAAGTCATCATTATTTATATAGCGCCTTTCCCAGACCCGAGTCACTAAGCGCTTTACAATTTGTTGTGGGTGTTTGTCTCTCACTCCACACAGAGATGGGAGCAGGTCGTCTACAGGTCTACAGGAGGCACATGCCAGACCTTCTGTACATGTTTTAGTAGTAGGGGAAACGTACACAGACACAGGGAGAACATGCAAACTCCACTATAGAGAGCAGATCGACTGAAGACTCCACATTCTGCAGGACGTCATCTGGTTTGTCTATTGTGCAATAAAGAACATGCTCCGTTTTATGAAAGTGTACAAAGTCTGGTTTTGGCCTCTTGTGGTCCTCAGGCCTCTGGTGGTCTTCAGACCTCAGGACCACCAGAGGTCCACAAAAGAGTAATAATTGTGTAAAAAGGGTGCAATAGCAGTTCTTTCACTTGTATGGTCTTCACACGTCATCACATTACTTTTGGTACTTCTACCTTTTATATCAGGGCAATTTACAGAGCACCAGCCCTCACGGATCCTCCTGCAGGTGGAGAGTCCACAGTACACATCAAAGCCTTGATCTTTCAGGGGGCTTCAGGTAAAGTGGGGTTAAGTGTCTCGCCCATGGACACAACAATAGTCAAGTGGGAGTCGGTGGAGAAGGTTTCATGGTGGGCTCGAGCCTACAAGCTTCAGCCTCAAAGGCCAATGCTCTACCAACTGAGCCACTGTCGGCCATTATACTTTACCATCACATCAACAAAGCTTACACAATTCTACTTCTTTTCGACATGCTTTTCCATATACAATTTGACGTATAAAATACTACTATGAACTTGAAAAAATTTTAAACATGATTTTTCATGTATATTTTATTCAGTATTCAAACTGTTTGTTGTTTGACTGTCATGTGCAATTTATACATTTCAAACAAGTCCGATATAACTTTTATAGAATATTTGTATTCTTGTATTCTTTTCCCTATGGGTCACCACACGAGGATGTATAGGACGTGTTTGCACTTGGTTGTGCCCCTGATGGTAGCGTGGATGGAGCTAAAACAACTGCAGATCGATTCATGAAGTAAAATGTGTGATCAAAACTTCTGCAGTGAACTGATGATGAAAGCAGTTTCTGTGAGTGGGTGCTCAGGCCTCACAGACCCCTGAGTGGACAGTGAGCTCCAGTGAGCACTCTGTCCAAACACATGCAGTGGTTTTTGCTACTTTCACACTTCAGTAAGGAAGGAATATTTATTTACATAGCACCATTCCTTTCTGAGTGGAGTTTGCATGTTCTCCCCGTGTCTGCGTAGGTTTACTCCGGGTGCTCCGGTTTCCCCTACCACTAAAAATATGTACAATAGGTCTGGCATGCGCCTCCTGTTCGGCGACCCCGCCTCCATCTCTGTGTGGAGTGAGAGGACAAGTGCCCAAAAAATAACAATCGTAAACCGCTTTGTGACTCTGGTCTGTGAAAGGCGGTATATAAATAAAGATTACTTACTTACATTTAGCAACAGTCACTAAGTGCTTTTACATTTGTGGACATTTATCCTCTTGCTCCACAGTGTTGGGGACGCTGTGCTACAGGAGACGTTTGCTGGAACTATTTTACTCCTTTTTTGTGATAGGGGAAACCCGGAGCACCTGGAGCAAACCTGCATAGGCATGAGGAGAACATGCAGAGTCCACACAGAAAACAAACACATCCCGTGGTCTAATTCCTGCTAAATTAAACTGTTCCTCTGTAACCGTGTCTCACCTTGTCCTCACACTGTCCTCAGGTCTGGGGGACTACATGCAGCGCTACGGACCCGGGATCCAGCGGGTCCTGTCCTCGTTTGGACCCACCCCGGACTTCAGCGGGGACCAGGCCCAGGACATCGTCAAGGTGAGCATCAGCAGACTGAGAGGTGTGAGGACAGAGGACAGAGAGTCTGTTCAGGGCTGGATGGAGGACACATTCCTCTGGTTGATGGTTAACAGGATTCTGGTCTGAATGAAAGTGTGAAGGCGTGTTCCACCAAAACAGGAACAAGTTTAACCTTTAATTTATTGAGATCATTGAGCAGTTAGCACCATGCTACTTTCCATCTGTAGTCCTCTGATGTGACCTATGATGTGTCCTCTCTGATGTGTCCTCTGATGTGTTGTCTGAAGTGTCCTTTAAAGTGTCCTCTGATGTGTCCTCTCTGAAGTAGGACCACTCAGCCACGGCGGCACGGTGGCTGAGTGGATAGCACTCTCGCCTCTCAGCAAGAAGGTCCTGGGTTCGAATCCCGGTCGGACCAGGGCCTTTCTGAGTGGAGTTTGCATGTTCTCCCCGTGTCTGCGTAGGTTTCCTCCGGGTACTCCGGTTTCCCCTACCACTAAAAATATGTCCAATAGGTCTGGCATGCGCCTCCTATACTGGTGACCCTGCTCCCATCTCTGTGTGGAGTGAGCGACAAATGCCCAAAAAAAAAAATTACAATTGTAAACCGCTTTGAGACTCAGATCTGCAGTGAAAAGGTGGTATATAAATAAAGATTACTTACTTACTTACTTACTTACTCTGATGTGTCCTCTCTGATGTGTCCTCTCTGATGTGTCCTCTCTGATGTGTCCTCTCTGATGTGTCCTCTCTGATGTGTCCTCTCTGAAGTGTCCTCTCTGATGTGTCCTGTGAAGTGTCCTCTCTGATGTGTCCTCTCTGATGTCTCTTGTCCACAGGAAATGAATCGGCTCATTCCCCAGGAGCAGCTCTCAGCCCACATCGAACGCAGAGATCAGCTTCTGTCCCTGCTGTCCCAGATCAAGAAGGACCACTAGTCCTGTCCCTGCTGTCCCTGCTGTCCCTGCTGTCCCTGCTGTCCCTGCTGTCCCAGATCACTAGTCCAGACGCTGAGGGGGTTTGGACGTGTGTGAGGACTGGGGCTTGAAAACAAAATGTGTCAGATAGTGTGATTTAAACTGTGATTGATCCTGAAGTAACTTTGACATTCTAACATTTTTACTTTAAACCAGTGATTTTTTATTAATAAACATGTGATGAAGAGCATTTATTTATTTATCTATTTATACGATTCGTCAGACACGGATCAGAAACACAGCTGCATTTTAAAGTCCGAGTCACATGGAGAGTGCACTGGTCATGCGACATACACACACACATATACACACATACGCATACATTTACAAACATTATTGTTACAACATCAGGGTCGAAAAGTACAATATATGTGTGTATTCTTCCATCTTCTTCCCCTTAATCCATTTCTGGGTCGGGGGGTGGCCCTTCACTGATCCTCCTGCAGGTGGTGAGTCCACAGGAGGAGTGTGTGTGTGTGTGTGTGTGTGTGTGTGTGTGTGTTTGTGCGCTGCTGGGACATGGGGGCCACATGTGAAGAGCCTTCCCAGCAGAAGGGGGCGGGGCTTCAGGCTCCTCTCGCTCTTATGCAGTTCCACACACAGGTGAGGAGCTGACGTCTGTGCGCTAATAAGCACACACACACATATATATACACCTACTCAGACACACGCACATGTATACACAACTACTCAGACACACGCACATGTATACACAACTACTCAGACACACACACATGTATACACAACTACTCAGACACACACACATGTATACACAACTACCCACAGACACACACACATGTATACACAACTACTCAGACACACACATGTATACATAACTACTCAAGACACACACACATGTATACACAACTACTCAGACACACACACGTATAATAACTACCCACAGACACACACACATGTATACACAACTACTCAGACACACACACATAAGATAAGATGTGCTTTATTTATCTCACAGAGGAGAAATTTACATGTCACATTTGGCATGGATAGAACACTCAGATTGTGCAAAGGGAGGAAATGTGCAAACATGTTACATGCAAGATATATGTACAATAAAAGTGACAATAATTATGTACAACAAAAGTGACAAGCGTCAATTGGAAACAGTGTCAATAGTAGTGCAGGTTTTCACACAGTGATCATTTAAAGTGACTTATTGTACAGTCTGACAGCGGTGGGGATAAAGGCCCTGCGGTAGCGCTCCTTCCTACACTGAGGGTGCCTCAGTCTTCCACTGAAGGAGCTCCTCAGCTCCTCTACAGTCCTGTGCAGTGGGTGGGAGGTGTTGTTCATGATGGAGGTGGCTTTGGCTAGCACCCTCCTGTCCCTCACCTCCTCCACAGAGTCCAGGGAGCAGCCCAGAGTGGAGCTGGCCCTCCTGACCAGCTTGTTCAGTCTGTTTCTGTCCCGCTCTGTGCTGCCCGGGGCCCAGCACACGGCAGCGTAGTAAATGGCAGAAGCTACCACAGAGTCATAAAAAGTCCTGAGCAGAGGCCTGCTCACTCCGAAGGACCTCAGCCTCCTCAGAAGGAAGAGGCGACTTTGGCCCTTCTTGTACAGGGCGTTTGTATTATGGGACCAGTCCAGTTTATTGTTAATGTGAACACCCAGGTACTTGAAGCTGTCCACCAGCTCAATGTCCTCCCCCTGGATGTTCAGCGGCGTGTGGGAAAGTGGTTTTCTCCTGAAGTCGATGACCATCTCCTTGGTCTTACTGGTGTTCAAGCACAAGTGGTTGAACTCACATCAGTCGACAAAGTCCTTGATAACCGACCGATATTCCAGTTCGTTCCCCTCAGACACACAGCCCACGATGGCGGAGTCGTCTGAGAACTTCTGCAGGTGACAGCTGTGTGTGTCGTGTGTGAAGTCTGAGGTGTAGATGGTGAAGAGAAACGGTGAGAGGACAGTGCCCTGAGGGGCCCCAGTGCTGCAGACTACCACCTCAGACTCACAGCTGCGCAGCCGCACGTACTGTGGTCGGTCTGAGAGGTAGTTGATGGTTCATGCAGTGAGGCTACTGTCCACTCCCGCGTCCTCCATCTTCCCCCGCAGCAGTGCCGGTCTGATGGTGTTGAAAGCACTGGAGAAGTCAAAAAACATGACCCTCACAGCGCTCCCGGCGGGCTCCAGGTGGGAGAGCGTCCACTGCAGGAAGTAGATGACGGCGTCCTCTACTCCGATGTTGGGTCTGTAGGCGAACTGCAGCGGGTCCAGGGTGGGGCTGACCACGGAGCGGAGATGGGTGAGGATGAGCCGCTCCATGGTCTTTATCAGGTGGGAGGTCAGTGCGACTGGTCTGTAGTGAGCCGGTTCCTTGGCGTGTGCTGTTTTTGGAACCGGGATCACACAGGAGGTCTTCCACAGGACAGGGACCTTCTCCAGGCTGAGGCTCAGGTTGTACATGTAGCTGAGGACCCCAGAGAGCTGGTCTGCACAGGTCCTCAGCAGCCTGGGACTGATCCCGTCCGGTCCTGCGGATTTCCTCAGCTTCAGGCGCTGGAGCTGACTCCTCACCTGGTCCGGTGTGATGGAGAGGGGGAGGGGGGGACTGGGGTGTACTGTCCGAGGTGGGGGCTGGGGATGCGGGGGCAGGAGGGCCCGAGGCAGCCGGAGGCAGTGTCCACTGGGCGGTGTCCACTGGGCTGGGGACGTGTGAAGAGGTGGGGGCGGGAGGGGGGGCAGATCGAGAGGGGGGAAAATCAAACCGGTTGAAGTACTGGTTAAATTCATCCGCCCGGTGCTGGTCTCCATCTGCTGTTCCTCTGGCACTCTGTCCAAAGCCGGAGATGTTCTTTAGGCCTCTCCACACGTCGCGGGCGTTTCCCTGGGCCAGCTTCTGCTCCAGCTTTTTCCCATAGTCCTTCTTGGCCCTCCTGATCCTCCACTGGAGCTCGTGCTGGATCCTCTTCTGCTCTTCCCTGTCCCCTGAGATGAAAGCCCTTTTCTTGAGGTTCAGGAGGGCTTTAAGCTCAGGGGTCACCCATGGGTGGTTGTTAGAAAAACACCGCACCTTCTTAGTTGGTACCGTGTTATCCACACAGAAGAGAATATAGTCTGTAATGCAGTGTGTCAGGCTCTCGATGTCCTCACCATGAGAGCTGCAGATCATTTCCCAATCAGTGTTTTGAAAACGATCTCTCAGCATCTCATCCACATCATCGCTCCACACTTTTACAATCCTCTTCTGTATACACAACTACTCACAGACACACACACGTATACACACAACTACTCATAGACACAAATGTACAATAAGACAACCCTCACCAGGACCTCAGGTAACCATCACCTCCTCCACCACCTTCTTCATGTCCTCCTCCTCCTCACCTCCTCTCGGCCCCCTTCAGAGTGAGCCAAAGTTTCAGATGAGAAGCAAAAATTGTTTTTACAGTTTGTAAAGATGGGTTGCATTTGTCAGATAATCTTGATCAAAATTGTTTAATGTTATAAAAAAATACTATTTGCAAATGACACAAATAAGTGGAATTTAAATAAAACTAAGATAATGATGTTTGAAATTTCTCACAAAATTCTGTTTTGGCAAAACGTTAATGAAATCCATGACATCCGTGAAATTGTGAATGAGCAGCAGAAACTTTTGAGTTGTTTCTACAGCGATGTTTGCAATGATGTTACAAAACAAAGTTGTAAGGCAAGTTTATCTGTATAGCACAGTTCATGCACGAGGCAACTCAAAGGGAAGAACTAGACGCACAATCACACATAAGTGATCACAGAGCATTAAAAAGAGTAGAGATATAATCAGTTGCAGCACAGTTAAACAGAACTGTTTATTAACCTGGATTTGAACATTGTCAGAGAAGACTGTCTCACATTTTCAGGAAGACTGTTCCAGATTATAGCTGCATAAATCTGAAACGGTGCTTCCCCATGTCAGGCCAGTTCCTGTTCAATTGATTGTATAATAGTAACAAAAGAGATCACCACCCACACACTGGGAGGGGTCTGAGGAAGGCAGGAGGAGCAGGAGGAGCTGGGGGAGCAGGAGCAGGGGGCAGAGCTGTGGGACGTTCCGCCTCAGGTGCCTCTCACACGCCCTCGCTCTGAGCATCAGTCTGTGAGAGAGCCGTGTCAGCGCGCCCATGGCACTCTGACTTCTCCGACTGGTTTCTCAGGTGAGACGATGCTTTCAAATACTTCGAATAACTTGAAATACTTGTAAATACTTGCGCTGTCGTAAATGTTTATAAATCTGAAACTCATACAAACAGATTGAACAAGTCAAACCCTAATCTTAACCCTAACCGGTGATCACTTTCATACTCCCTTTAGAATGTGTGTTGTACATGTCTTTTTTACAGGTACAATATTTTTATCATCACAATAACATTAGAGAAACTGACATGTACCTGTGTAACATGCGATTGTACTTTTTGGTCTAAAGCTTTGAGTTAAATACTGGATCAAAACCAACAAAAATAGTAAAATGGTTGTTAATCAATGTGTTCTGCTGATTATTCCAGACGGAGCGTGAGGACGCACTGGTATTAGGGACATCGTTTTTGTAGTAACTGCAGTTAGTGGTATTTGTGTAGTAGCAGTTTTTGTGACCTAGTTTCACCCGATGACACAATTTCTACAAAATGTTTTCAAAGATAGTTACATTACATGACTAAACCCTTTCATAGTTTCCTCACTGTATCTGACAGTCACAAATCTCACTTGGTTTTAGACACTTTTGAACTGCATCTCAATCATTTGGTAAAGGCCTTTAATAAGAACAATAGGCGCTCTAAAACACAGTAGTGTCCTACATTTTAGAAAATCCCAAAAAGAAAAAGAAGCTTTGCTTGTGTAACGATACACAGCACCTAAATACAGCAAAAAGTGATGAGATCGATCAAAAAGTGATCACTTTGTTTTAAAAAGTCATCAGTTTGTTTAAAATGAGACTAAATTGCTTTGTCCCATTGACAAATCTTGTTTTAAGACAATCAGAATGTTTTCAGATTAAGGTAAAAACCACTCAATTAAAGCATGTATAACATGTGTATAACTTCATATTCTCTCAGTCTTTGCAGCGCACACGTTATGGAGCCTAAATGCATTAAACACATCCACATGATCACAGAGCGCGAGCGTTACACATGTTTGAAGACATACAGTTTGAGGTATTTCTGTCATTCTCACAGAAACACAAGCTGTGTTTGTTTTCAAAGATGATCAAAGATCTGTGTAGACTTCAGATCCTGCTTCTGTCGACGCTGAGATGTTGAGCTCGATGATGTTTTCAAGTTCCACCAAATATGGAAAATCAACAGCTCAATTTCCATTGACACAATATGTGGAGTTTGAGCCATCACTACGGCAACAGAGTTTACAGCTGGTTTAGAGCTAGTTTTAGTTAGTTTAGAGCTTGTTTAGAGCTGGCTAAGAACTAGTTTAAATTAGAATTTTTTCTAAATACAAGGCTCCGTAAATGCATTGAGAAATTTGGCAAAAAAGAAAATCTTTTAAGACACAGTTATGGACCTTGAGAAGACAAGACGCCGACAATCCGGAAGTCCACCATCTTGAATTGAATATTTAAAAGTGTGAGTTTCCCTCCTGTCATCTACAAAGTTCCTCTGATGAGGCTTTATAAATCTTCAGAATAAATGTATCAAATATGAATAGATTTTTTAAAATGTGGAACATTATTCAAGTGTAAAGTCTCAGTGTAGAGGCTGGATCCTGTGCTCGTCTCATCACTGTGCGTCAGCTTCAGTCTGACTGAAGCCGTTCTCGCTGAGATCTTTACACGTTCAGGACAAACATCTGCAAAACTTCATTCACACCGGATACACTCTGTTAAACTAAACTTCATGAATGAAACTCTAAAAACAAGTCTATGACCAGAAAAACGTGTCCTGGAACAGTCTCAGGGACAGGATTCAGCTTCAGGAATGTTCAAATAGACACAGATACTAATGTTTGTGCAGTAAATACTCTTCAGACCATTTACTACAGACACTAACAATGAACATTATGTTTATTATGTTTATGCGCAGTTAGCAAAACTAACTGTTCATTTGACACATGTTAAAATAAGTTCGACTTTAAATCAGTGTCATTTTATGAGTCTTTGAGATCATAAACACAAGTTCTCTGTGTCATCCATCCAACTTCAGCTCAGCCAATAAAGACATGTCGGCTACTCGTTCTAAAGCCTAGTACAGCTGGAATTCACTCGTTTACTTTATTTGTACATACTGTGCTGATGAGTTTTTTTTATTGTGTCACACACTTCCGCTAATGGTGCGACTGTAGCAGGTGAGATGGTAGACATTGTTCATTCAGCCAACTTCAGCTCTTTTACAGCCCGATGCCTCAAGACTAGTCTGGTGAACTAAAGTCGCCCTCTTACTAAAATGTTTGGACACGCCTTCCATACAGTGTTGTCTTAGTGAAATACATGAAAATATTTTGAAACTGCTCCAGAAAAGTCCAACTTGACTTGTTCATTAAAAGTATTGATTCGACTTTACATAGTTGTCGATTTGCCAAATAACCGATCAGAGAATCACAATAATAACAGACACATAGGAGTCATTGGACCATAGGGAGCGGGAGAACCAGAAAGGTCTTTAAATGTCCTTAAATGTCCTTAAATGTCCTTAAACGTCCTTAAACGTCCTGGATCATCACTGTCCTGAGACCTTGCATCATTGAAAAAACAGGACCAGGACTCAGCCTGTAGAACGAGGAGAGAGACTGTGTAGGACCCATCATCACACCATGATCTTGGGGCATGTGTCGTCTCCGCTGAGGCCTTTCACACACAGCTGCAGACTATCACACTGTGCGGACAAAAGTCTCTGCTGAGCCTCAGGACACCCACATGGTGTCTGGGACGTCCATAGTGCAGCATGAGCCAATGAGCACAGGCCACTGATCTGAGTGGACAGACATGTTGGCGACCTGGGGTTTGGCCTAAATGTAAAAGAAGCTGGTTTGAACATAAATCGTAAATCTGGATTCACAAAGACAATATCATGTTGTAAACAGCAGGATCACAGAGAGCAATAAACCACAGATTTTAGCCCAAAATGGTTACTGAGCTAGAGGAGTTTACTTTTACATGGACGTCAATAGCAGCCAGAGAGAGTTGGAGCTAAACTTTCTTCTTGAGCACTTCCCTATTGGGCTTCATGGAGTTAGCATGGTCCATCTGTGTACAGTGTATATCCAGACCACACCTCGCCTCCTCATACGAGGTGTTATACAGTATGTCTCTGTGTGCACAACCCAGCCTTCTTCTTGTTCATGAACATGTTTCGTGTCCGTCATACTCACCCTCACCCTCACTTTTCCCTCACCATCACCTCACCCTCACCTCTCACTCTGTTGCAGAAGCTGTAGTCCCGTCACCATGAGCTGGGGGGCGCTGTACGCGCAGCTGGGTGGGGTGAACAAACACTCCACGAGTCTGGGGAAGATCTGGCTGTCGGTGCTGTTCATCTTCCGCATCACAATCCTGGTGCTGGCGGCGGAGAGTGTGTGGGGAGACGAGCAGTCGGACTTCACCTGCAACACGCAGCAGCCGGGCTGCAAGAACGTCTGCTATGACCACTTCTTCCCTGTGTCACACATCCGCCTCTGGTGCCTGCAGCTGATCTTCGTGTCCACGCCGGCGCTGCTGGTGGCCATGCATGTGGCCTACAGGAAGCGCGGCGACAAGAGGAGCATGATGGCCTCCAACGGGACGGAGAAGATGTCTGACTCCGAGCTGGCGACGCTGAAGAAGAGGAGGCTGCCCATCACTGGCCCCCTGTGGTGGACCTACACCTGCAGCCTGTTCTTCAGGCTCATCTTCGAGGGCGGCTTCATGTACGCGCTCTACTTCGTCTACGACGGCTTCCAGATGCCACGCCTGGTCAAGTGCGAGCAGTGGCCCTGTCCCAACAAAGTGGACTGTTTCATCTCCCGCCCCACGGAGAAGACGGTCTTCACCATCTTCATGGTCTCCTCCTCAGCCATCTGCATGGTCCTGAACGTGGCCGAGCTCTGCTACCTGATCAGCAAGGCTCTGCTGCGCTGCTCTTCACGGGACACCAGGAGGAGCAACCACCTGGCCCGGGACACCACCCTGCTCCAGAACCAGAAGAACGAGATGCTGCTGTCCTCTGTGGACACCAGCAAGACCATGTGCTGAGCTGCTAGGAGCTGCTGTGCAGACTGTAACTCACACATGTCCACTGTGGAAGTACTGTAGAAACACAAGAAAGTACATTATCACTTATTTTAGTTTAATGTAAGAAGTGGGGCCTCTCATCAGCTGTGGAGACTCTGCTTCAGAGACATAGAAGTGACGACCTGTCGGACTCAGCAGCAGAAAAACCCAGTGATGTCACACTCCATGTGAAGTTGCTTCCCTCAATACTTTAACTTTTCATCCCTTGTTTCCCAAATGAAGAAGCTTAAGAGTGCACCCTGAATCCTTTGAGCTCTGACCAATCAGAGCAGGTGATGTAGTCATGTGACACGGTTTACAAAAAGTAGAGAATCTGTACTGTATCAGTACTTAGAATGATCCAGTGTTTTAACACAACATACCTACCCCCCAGCACATGTGTGCCTGTGTGTGCTGCCCCCTGCAGGCTGAAGCTGAAATTTCCTTTTGCGCAACACAAAGTAATGACAGAAGTAAGTTTAACATCACGAGAGTTCAAAGCTCTAAACTCAGAGCTCTAAGCCGCAGCAGAGAGAGCTCCAGACCAATCACCTGCTGACCACTGCTGATCCGTGCACCAGACATTTTACATTGTTTCTTTTATAACTTTTTCTTTTGAAATAGAACATATTCATTTGACTGATTCGTATAAACAACTTTTACTTTTTTGAATTGTGTATTTTAGCTGAGTAACTGAGTTATCTTTATTCATACAGACCAGTGTTTTTGGAGAACAAATATTTTTCCTGTCACTGCTCAGAGAAGCAAGACGCAGCACACGACCAACACTCATTCACTCACTACATTCAGACCTATTGTTTTAGCTGTAGAGGACACTGGAGCCCCCGGAGGAAACCTACGCAGACACGGGGAGAAAGCAACATGCAGAACATGCAAACACCGCACACAAAGGCCTGGAAGTGGGATTGAACCCAATACCTTCTGACTGTGAAGCAGAGCCTCTAACCTGCCGCCTGCTGTGGTTATCATGTATCAAATATTGTAAAAACAACAGAAAAATCAGAAATAGGTGTTTGTTTGAACTGTGAGGACACAGTGTGTGTGTAGTTTAGTAATAATGTGTCTGTCTTTGAAGTATTGTTATAACAAATGCAGTTTTCTATTGATTCATTAACAGATGTTATTTAAAATGATAAACTTTTTATGAACAAAAAGCTGTAGTTGTTTTGTTATTTTGGAGTATTATACAGAACAAATTATTAGCATTATCATGTTTGCCCCACAAACATGAACATTTACTTTCAGAAAGGGTTTGGGTTTCTGAAATAAACTGAATAATGTCCAAAGGGAAAAAGGGAAGACGAGAGGAATTACATTCTGCTACAGTTAGATCAAAGTCATTTAACTCACAATCTTAGGCCTGGGACTTAAATCAGAGCGTTAGAACAGAAGGGGTGGAGCTACATGTTTGTTCCTAGTATTAGGGGATGGATCTAAAACATGGATCTATAATAATAACTGGATAGTAGTATTACTAGCTTATAGCTGTCCCACTCATGGACACAGGGAGCGCCCGTGGTACTGCAGACTAAATTCACGCGGGTTACCCAGAAATAAGTTCCATAGAACTCAATGTAAATTAAAACAGCTTGAGCTCAGCTAACAGAGAACCTACAGCTTTCATAAAGGTCAGATTTTGTGGGGATTTTAGTGTCCCTTGTCATCCTGAACTTTTTTTCTTATTAAATCCTTCTGTTTTCTTTAAATCCACACTTTACTGCCACAAACTCTGCTCCTTTCCTTCCTGCTCTGACTCCACTCTAACTCTGCTTTGATCAGCAGCTCTGATTGGTCAGAGCACGGCCGAGCCCCTCTGTGCACGTGCATGAGAGCCACACACGCATATTTGTCTCAACGCATATCATGGGAGCTTGTCCATTGCGCAGAACTGGCAGGACCAGACGATGCCCAAATACAGACGAGTTCTGATAATCTCCCCGTCCCCGTGAAGTCCCATGCGCTACAGAGCACAAGCCATTCATTTGAATAGGGAGCCATCTTGGATCACCGGGGCTTGATCTAAAAAACAAGACATGGTCTACTGTTGTACACATCAACAACAGCCACAATCACCGCCAACTAGGGGTGGGCGATAACTATCGTAGACTATATTATCGCAAAAGTAACTTGTCGATAAGCTTTTTCACATTATCGAGATATTGGCTCTATTTCACTTTTGCCGCTTTGCCTGTTTGCCTTCTCTGTGCTGTGCTCGCCCCCACCTCATGTTGCTCCCCCTCGGCCCCTCCCCTCGCATGTGTGGCATTCAACACAGCAGCAGTGCCGCTTAGCTAGCTAGCAGAAAAGATGTAAACATGCTCGAAGGAAACAAATTTGTCTAAATTTGTTTAGACGGAGACGCTGCAAAAAAAATTGCATAACAACCAGGCAAAACGACGGAAAACGGTGTAGTTCTACCGCCCGGCCAGTAGAGAGCAGTGGAACTTTACAACACGACACACGCCAGCATTATAATCACTTCCTCAACAACATCCTCCTCAGGCGACTGCCAAGACGTGAAAGAATGCACCAACATCATTCTGCATTCCGCTCGACGCACATGTTGCATTAGTTTATCCGCCGCTATTATTGTTTAGGTTTGTCCTCGACTACTGCGCATGTCCAAATGTCCATGCGGGGAAGCGGTGAGGTTATAGCAGCAGAGAATTCACACCTTTTTCTTCAAACAGCTGTGAAACAGCCCCCGCTGAGCAGTGTGTCTGGAAATTTGAAATTGGCATGTTAGTATTTGCAGTAGTTTTTGGGGGGTTATTTATCCTATAAAAATATTGTTATATATCGTATATCGAGATATATATTTTAAAAAAAAATCAAGATATTTTTTTTTCTTTATTACCTGTGGTTTACTTAAATAACGAGGCGATGCACACGTTTTACCACTTTATATAGCAGATCTCTGGGAGCAACACAACAACGTGACACGAGGCCATTACAGTCTGAACATTTGTATAACATGCGCAGCAGACACAATAGCTAACTACGGCAAGTTTTCAGGGTCAACCTTAATGCTTATTATAATGGTATTAATACACCACATTACCTCCCCCCTTAAATTAAAGGTAATCTTCACATAACGCATTAATATAGAACATTAACGTAAAATACACTTCTTACACAGAGTGCGTTCTCGCTCTGGTTAATTAAATGACCACTTCAAATAAGTATGTTAAATCTTACAAATAACTCAACCCTCTTTACTAACTGAACAAGTCCCAGTATATATTTAGTCTCTGTAGCGTGACGGCCGCCTAGCCGTACGCTCCGAGCGCCTTAAAGTCACTGGGCCTCATTCACGAATAACTTCGTAAGAAACTACTCAACTTTCTTCTCAAGTTGTCCTTAAGTAGATTTCTAAGAAGTCCCTACGTGGGATTCATCAACGCACTCGTAAGCCGCTGAATTGTTCGCAGCTGTTCTCTCAGATTGATGAATCCCATTTCCTCGTAAGTAGAGCGCGCGTGCCAGGTGCTTCATTAGCATAGGTACTTAGCATAAGTAACCGCCCACTAATGCCCATATAAGGGACTGCAGGGCCGTGTGCAGACGGCAGAGGAAACAGCAACAGGCCTTTACACGGAGCAAAAGTCACCCTTTTTTCTTCTTTTACCAGACTGAGAATAAAGTTATAAAATGTTGACTTAAAAGTCGAAATATTATGATAATAAAGTCGAACTAGCAAAATTATGAGATTAATCTAAGAATATGATGAAATTAATCTCAAAATTTTATGAGCTTAATTTAAAAATATATTATGTATTATTTTAAAGATGAATCTCAAAATGTTTTGAGATTAATCTCAAAATATTTTGGACCCTGGGAGGAGATCCAGCGCGGACCAGCGCTGAGATCAATGCAGACCCGAGGAGAGACTGGAGTGACCAGCACACAGAAACCAGCGCGGACCTATAGGAGAGACCGCATAGACTGGAGTGACCTGACTGGAGAGACCGCATAGACTGTAGTGACCTGACTGGAGAGACCGGTGCGCAGAGACCAGCGCGGACCGAAGAGAGACCGCATAGACCAGACTTGAGAGACCAGCGCGGATCCGTATGGAGAGACCAGTGCAGACCCGTATAGATCCATGGGAGAGACCAGTGCAGACCCGTATATGGGAGACACCAGCGCAGACCCGTATAGATCCATAGGAGAGACCAGCGCAGAGACTCAGCGCGGACCCAGTAACCTCCTGCAGCAGCAGTATATATGCCATTGTTCTGTGGCCCGTGGATAAAGAAATGCCCCTTATAAATAGGAAGGGGTCACTAATACACGGCAAGATTTCCAATGTATTTGATAAAGCGTTGGCACATTTCATTTCAAAATGAATTAAAAAGTAGGCCAGATCTGCAGTGAAAAAGGCGGTATATAAATAAAGATTACTAATAAAGATTACTACAAATAAATAAATACATACATCGATATGACGGACATATCACTGGAATGTTGTATTTTTATTCAACTTCACCAAAGAGTACAACCCCCGCGTGTGAACATGTCGGCACTGAATGCGTACGAGTGCTCCTGAGGACTCGTAGGATTTGTACTTGCCCAAGAGAAATTCTGGTTACGAGAAATATTCGTGAATGCCACTTTCTTCGTAAAAACCGCGTAAGTAGGATTTACGTACAAATCTGTTCCTAAGAACCGTTTGTGAATGAGGCCCATTGTTTCTGGATAAGCGGCTCAGGCTGGTCCAACGTAAACGGTTGTGGAGCAGGTGCTGTGGAGACTGGCCCAGCAAGGTTACTCTCCTGATCCGCTGACTGAGTTGCTCCTAGAGGCACTGGGTCTGAAACCTCCTGAGGATACCGAGGTCGCAACTGGTCTCCGTGACGTCTGTACACTTGGTCAGTTGTCTCTCCCTGCACCCGGTACGACACCGGACCTGTCTGCTGTGTAACTACTCCAGGGATCCATTTGGGTTTATCACCTGCAGTATTGCGTAGATACACAGGATCATCCACATCAAACTGTCTCTCGGTAGCCCGACTGTCGTGCTCCTCCTTCTGCTGATACTGCCTCCTCCGCACCCTCATGGCGATGTTTGGCCTTAGGAAATCCAACCGCGAACGCACATGTCTCTTTAGGTGCAAATCTGCGGGTGACTCTCCAGTCGCACTGTTGGGAGTTGTGCGATACCGCAGTAGGAAATGTGAGACCTTGTCCTCAACATTCAAGTCCTCTCCGTCCAGCTTCTTCATGCCTGCTTTGAATGTAGCAACATACCTCTCAGCGAGGCCATTGGTAGCTGGATGCCGCGGTGCACCAGTTGTGTGAAGGATACCGTTCCTTTTCATGAAGAGCTGAAACTCCTCTGACATGAAGGTCGTGGCGTTGTCTGTGACAATTTGCTCTGGTAATCCATATGACGCAAAAAGTCTCCGAAGCCTTGAAATGGTTGCGGAAGATGTTATCTTTGCCATCTTGAAAACCTCCAGCCACTTAGAGTATGCGTCTACAACTATCATGAACATGTGACCTATAAACGGACCTGCAAAGTCAATGTGGAGCCTTTTCCAAACCTCTCCAGGAAACTCCCAGGGGTGTAGAGGGACTGGGCGTGGCATACGCTGCTCCAACTGGCACCTGTCACACTGCTTACAGGTCTTTTCAACGTCCATGTCTACATGTGGCCACCAGACATATTGCCTCGCAATGGTCTTCATCTTTACAATGCCAGGGTGTCCACTGTGGATCTCATTAAGCACTGCTGTTCTTAGCTTTTTAGGTACCACTACTCTTGTACCCCAAAGAACACAACCTTGCTCAACAGATAGTTCCTCTCTCTTTTTGTAGAACACTTTCAGTTCTTCTGCTACTTCCCTTGGACACCCTTCCTTGATGTATCTGTGCAGCCTTGATAGCTCTGCATCCTTGCGTGTTGCCCTGGAAATCTGTTGTGCACTCAGTGGCACACCCTCCAGGTGTTCACAGATGAGTGCATGTAGGTATGCTGTCATTGTCTCTGTTCCTGCATCCGCAGTCTCCGGCAGTGGGACACGAGACAGACCATCTGCGTTGCCGTGTTCGTCTGACTGGCGGTAGATTATGTGGTAATCATAGGCAGACAGTATGATAGCCCACCTCTGTATGCGCGCTGCTGCCATTGTTGGAAGTCCTTTATGTTCTCCAAACAGCGTGAGCAGCGGTTTATGGTCGGTGATCAAATTGAACTTCCGCCCCCACAGATATTGATGGAATTTCTTTACTCCATACACCAGGCTCAACGCCTCCTTTTCTATCTGTGAGTATTTCTTTTCCGCCGGTGAGAGTGTACGAGAAGCATAGGCTACTGGACGCTCTTGTCCGTCATGTGTTGTGTGCTGAATAACGGCTCCAATTCCGTACGCTGAAGCATCACATGTGAGAGAAAGCGGCAGGCTCGGATCATAGTGAACTAACACCTTGTCACCGGTCAACATTTCTTTGCACTTATCAAAAGCGCTCTGTTCCACTTTACTCCACCTCCATTTTGTTTGGTCTTTTAGCAGTTTGTAGAGTGGGGCCAAAACAGTACTTTGCTGCGGCAAAAAGCGACCGTAGTAGTTCACTAGCCCTAGGAAAGCCCTGAGCTCTTTGATGTTTGTGGGCGTTGGAGCATCATGCACGGCTCTGACCTTGTCTTTAGAAGGGTAAACTCCTTTTCCATCCAACATGTAAGTAGTAAGTAGTAAGTAATCTTTATTTATATACCGCCTTTTCACTGCACATCGGAGTCTCAAAGCGGTTTACAATTGTTATTTTTTGGGAGTGAGGGTGCCAGTACAGGAGGCACATGCCAGACCTATTGTACATATTTTTAGTATGAAAAATACCAGAGTACCAGAGCACCCGGAGGAAACCTACGCAGACACGGGGAGAACATGCAAACTCCACTCAGAAAGGCCCTGGTCCAACCGGGATTTGAACCCAGGACCTTCTTGCTGAGAGGCGAGAGTGCTATCCACTCAGCCACCGTGCCGCCCACGTGTGACCTAGGTACTCGATTTGTGTTTTCCCAAAGTCACACTTTGACTTTTTTACTCTCAGGCCGTTTTCTTGTAGCCGCTGTAGAACTCTGTCCAGGTTCAGCAGATGCTCAGCTTCGTCCCTGCCCATCACTAGCAGGTCATCCAAGTAAACCAGGACGTTGAGGTCTCTCATCACGTTCTCCATGATCCTTTGGAAAATACTGACAGCAGAATTAATGCCAAAGCAAAGCCGATTGTACACAAACAGTCCTTTATGCGTGTTCACAGTTGTATACTTTTTTGACTCGTCATCTAGAAGGACTTGTTGGTACGCGGCTGCCAGGTCGATTTTAGAGAATATCTTCCCCCCACATAATGCTGCCAGAACCTCTTCAATGCGTGGTAGTGGGTACGTTTCAGTGTTTGTAGCCAGGTTCACAGTTACCTTATAGTCGCCACACAAGCGGAGTCCACCGTCCTTCTTGGTTACAGGGACCACTGGAGCAGCCCACTCGCTGTGCTTCACAGGGCTGATGACGCCATCCTTTTCCAGGCGCTCCAGTTCTTTATCTACCTTTTCTTTCATTGCGAAGGGCAGGACACGGGCTTTGTGGAACTTTGGAACTGCGTCAGGTTTCACATAAATTGCTGCTTTAATGCCCTTTAATGTTCCCAACTCATCTTTGAAAACATCAGCATATTTATCCAACACATCTTGGATTGACTTGGGCTTGGTTGTGCTTTCTGTGACTTTTTTAATCATTTTCCAGCCCACACAGTGAAGGACCTCCTCCGGCCACTACTATCAGTGGTAGATCAGCAGTCTGATTTCCATAAGTCACTTTTGCAATGAACTGTCCTTTCACTGGAATGGTCTCTCCTGAGTAGCCCTTCAGTGCGACGCTGCTGCCCTCTAGTGGCACATGTGAGAATGACTGATCATACACATTTTCTGAGATAATGCTGACTCCTGCTCCTGTGTCAATTTCCATCGGCACTTTTTTTCCATTTACTTCAAAAGTTGCCCTGTATGGCCGCCGGCCAGCACCACTTGCACTGAACACAGAAAACATCAGAATTTCATCTTCTATTTCGTCAGCTTGTACGTAGCCTGTAATTTTTCCTTCTTTTTGTTCAAAATTTCTCTTCCCCTTTTTCTATTGCCTCTCACGTGCCCGCCCTCCAGTCCTGCATGCCTTCTGAATATGCCCAACTTTGCCACATTTATGACACTTTGCGTTCTTGTAGTAGCAATCACTGGCGAAATGATCCATTCCTTTACATCTATAGCACCCGTCTTGTTTTGAAAGTGGGCGCCGGTCCCCCTTTACCTTGTGAACAGCGGTGACGTCATCACCTGTCCGCAACTGCTGGGCATCTCGGTGGGCTGTCTCCATGTTAACCGCAAGCTCCACAGCTCTCGCAAACGTCAGCCTATCCTCTGAGAGCAATTTGCGCTGGCATGCTTCAGAACTGACCCCGCTGACAAATCCGTCACGTAGAGCTTCATCCAGCCTGTCCCCGAAATCACACTTCGCAGCGAGTTGGCGCAGCTCAGCAGCATATTCCGTCGCTGTCTGGCCGCTCTTCTGGACACATTTACGGTACCTAAATCGCTCGGCGATGACCAAAGGTTTTGGTTCATAGTAGTCTCGTAGAATGGTCACAACCAGTTTTGTCCTTTGGCTTGTCAGGCTGAACCAGGTTGCGTAGAAGACCATACGTCGCTGCGCCGACTGAGCTCAACAAGACGGGAACTTTCTTTCCATCGTCCACATCATGAGCCTCAAACAGCAGCTCCATGCGCTCCACGTAGGCAGACCATGTTTCATGCTCCGGCTTTAACTCGTCCGGTCTTTGGGAAAAGCACGCCATAACCGATTTTCCTCGTCGCCAATTATGTGGTGTACTTAAGGCGATGCACACGTTTTACCACTTTATATAGCAGATCTCTGAGAGCAACACAACAACGTGACACGAGGCCATTACAGTCTGAACATTTGTATAACATGCGCAGCAGACACAATAGCTAACTACGGCAAGTCTTCAGGGTCAACCTTAATGCTTATTATAATGGTATTAATACACCACATTACCCATCTTAGTTCAGATATTGTTCCAATCATTCCACACACGGTGCTGACGGAAGCGAGACATCGAACACACTGGTGCATCAAAGCCTCCGACCAAACACCATCCATTCATTCCCTCATTTACATTAGTACCTATTGTGCATCTTTTAGTGGTAGGGGAAACCGGGGCACCTGGAGAACATGCAAACTCCACTCAGAAAGGCCCTCTTCCGACTGGAATTCGAATCCAGGACCTTCTTGCTGAGAATCAAAAGTGCTATCCGCTCAGCCACCGTGCTGCCCACGCCCTACCACCAACACTTCATGCAGGTGATTCAAAAAGGTTCATTTTGTCTTGAGATGCTTTTTTGGTTCTTTTGAAAGACAAGTTTAGATGTATTACCTTATTAACATGTTTTAGCTGCGAGCGTCTTTAGAACTGTAACCCGCCATAGCAGGGCACACACTTTGATTGTATTGCAGCTTTTGGATGCTCTCGGCCTGTACAGAAATTCCACAACACAAACATGGCTGAAACATGGCTTGACCAAAATACAGAAAATGCAGTTTTAATAGAAGCATCACCACCAAATTTCAAATTTGAATCTGAAATACGGGAAAACAAAAAAGGAGGAGGCATAGCTGCCATTTTCAGAGACCACTTTGTCTCCCATAGAATGTCTCTTGGGAAGTTTCCGTCTTTTGAATATGTGTCTTTTAAAATACAACAAAACAATCTCCTCCAATACTCTTCATAGTCCTATACAAGCCACCGCAGTCATGTCACAGTTTTATTGATAATTTTACCGAGTTGCTTTCAGTTGTATGCACAGATTTTGATAGTTTAGTTATTACAGGTGATTTTAATATTCATGTGGATAATGTTGATGACAGAAATGCAAAAGAGAGTTCTTTACTTGATACCTTTGGTCTCACTCAGCACGTGAGTGGCCCCACCCACAGCAGAGGGCACACTCTAGACCTGTTAGTTACAAAGGGGGTGAATATTTCAAATATAAGCGTGGTCGATGTTGCTCTTTCGGATCATTTCTGTGTATTTTTTGACATGTGTTTCACTAACAAACCACCAGTGGACTCTGCAACTGTTCGAAGAAGACACATAAATGAAAATACGAGTGAACTATTTATGGGAATGATAAACTTTGAAAATGCATCGTATTCTACTGTAGATGAACTGTTTAACTCTGTCACCTCTAGTGTTTTGAATGTTCTGGATACCGTTGCCCCTGTGAAGGTTAAAATAGTGAAAAATAAGCAGAAGGCGCCGTGGGCTAAAGCAGACTCGGTCAGAGCACTGAAGAGAAAGTGCCGGAGGGCCGAGCGGAAGTGGCGCAAGTCCAACCTCCAGGTTGATTACAAGATATACAAGGATAAGTTGTGCGAGTTTAACCGGGTGCTACGTAGTACGAGAGAAAGGTATTTTTCTGAAATGATGAAGGCTGCAGCAACAATCTGCTCGTTCTGTTTTAAACAGTTAATAGATTAACAAACCCCCCTGTTCAGATGCCATTAGAGCTAACTTCCAAACGTAAATGCAATGACTTTGCACACTTTTTCAATGACAAGGTTCAAGGCATCAAAAATGCCATTGTCTCCAATCCACAGATAACAATCCAACAGCCAGAAAGGCTCTTTGAGCTAACTCACTTTGCACCTGTAGATGATAAAACTGTCCAAGAGATAAGTTTGAGCCAGAGGTGGGACAAAGTCATTGTTTAGCAAGTCACAAGTCAGTCTCAATTCATTGCCCTCAAGTCCCGAGTCAAGTCACGAGTCAAGACAGGCAAGTCCCGAGTCGAGTCCAAGTCAAAGGCCAACAAATCTCAAGTCAGTCCCAAGTCCTACGGTTTGACTTTCGAGTCCTCTCGAGTCTTTTTGACCGCAATTTGTTTCTTGTTGGTCTCCACGTACTTTTGTAGGCAAACAAAATAATGTTAGGAATCATTTTGCTGGTGCATTCTCGTTGGTCTCTGACCCATGGACTAACAGTTTGTTCCATGTGGTTGGCTGCTGGTAAATCAAAACTATGTTGTGCCAGATGCAGGCTCAGTTACACATGCACAGACCACACATAAAATCAGAGCAGTCCGTGTCAACATACTTTTTATCTTTGGGGTTTTTAATGGGAAGTAGCAAGTGCAGCATATATGAATATGAGTATTGGGCTAGGACCTGTATCTATATAATCAGTTTTAATGTCCATAGTGGTTATTGTTCCAAAGGACTGAAGGGACCAATGGAGGGGAAGGAACCTGGCCTGTATGAACTGGGCCAGCATTAGTAATATCTCATAATTACCAATATATCATTACATAATAAAATGTCTCATATAAATTAATTCAATCAGTCAAAGTACTGATTCTCATATCAATGAACCATAAACAATAGTGCAAATATTAATCTAGCTTAGTGCACATAATCAAAACAACTATCTAATGTATGCAAACTTTAGCAGGAGGAGCACAGCAAAAACATACTCATAATAATAGGCCTCGGCGCCCACACAGAAAAATATAAGAAAGAGCCAACAGAGCAGCGCAGGCTAGCGCTAGTTTGACTCACCAGTTCCTCTTTAAAACACGGCACAGAGTGTGACAACTGCGTCGTTACAGGCGCCTGTAGTGAAAGCATATCAATTACGGTTTGTAGAACAAAATATGACGTTAGGTCGCGATAAATACCTGCAGCTCGCTCATTTCCAGCTCCCCTAGACAACACACCCACCGGTGAATGCAGTCCGCTTGTTTAGGGAAGTGTTGCTGCGCGAACTGCCTGGAACTCACGTTCGAACTCTCGCGCGAGCGCTACAACTACCGCGAGGCTTTGTTTCTTCAGAGACGGCATAGATAGAAAGAGAGATGCGGAGAAAGGTAAAAATGGCCCGGGTTAAGCAAGTCTTTGCAAGTCAATTGGCGCAAGTCCAAGTGAAAGTCAGAGTCATTGATGTTAAAGTCCAAGTCGAGTTGCAAGTCTTTTTATATTTGGTCAAGTCGAGTCTAAAGTCATCAAAATCATGACTCGAGTCTGACTCGAGTCCAAGTCACATGACTCGAGTCCACACCTCTGGTTTGAGCTCCTCCACATGCAGCCTGGATGTACTACCCACTAGATTTCTGAAGTCTGTTCTGGGCAGTCTGTTACCTTCACTCACACAGATAGTAAACATGTCCCTTCATTCTGGAATATTCCCAAAGGCCCTGAAAACGGCAGTCATCAGGCCCTTGCTAAAAAAGAGCAGCCTGGATGCTACGGTACTTAACAACTATCGTCCCATCTCAAATCTGCCATTTATGGGGAAAGTCCTTGAAAAAGTTGTCTACCTACAGCTTACTAGATTTCTTATAATTAACAACTCATTTGATATGTTTCAGTCCGGCTTTAGACCCCACCACAGCACTGAGACTGCTCTAGTCAAGGTTACAAACGATATCCGGCTGAACACTGACGCAGGCAAAGTCTCAATCCTAATCCTGTTAGATCTAAGTGCTGCCTTTGACACTGTCGACCATGAGATCCTCTTACAGAGACTAGAGGACTGGGTTGGAGTCGCTGGCACCGCTCTAAGTTGGTTTAGGTCTTACCTTGAAGACAGGAAGTACTTTGTGGAGATTGGAGACTGTGTCTCAGATCATATGGCCCTGACCTGTGGAGTACCACAGGGGTCGATCCTGGGACCTCTTCTGTTCAATCTCTACATGCTGCCGTTAGGTCAGTTAATACGCAGAAACGAAGTGTCCTATCACAACTATGCAGACGACACTCAGATCTATGTCTCACTGACTGCAGGAGAACATGGACCAGTGGACTCACTCCTTCACTGTATCCAACAGATCAGTGAGTGGATGCAAAACAACTTCCTTCAGCTAAACGCAGACAAAACTGAAATGATTGTCTTTGGTCCCCAGAAACAAAGAGAGAGCGTCATCTGTCACCTACAGTATCTCTCCCTAAAACCTTCAAACAAGGTCAGAAATCTAGGGGTAATACTGGACTCAGACTTAAATTTTAATAGCCACATCAAATCAGTAACATCAGCAGCTTTTTACCATCTAAAAACATTGCCAGGATCAAAAACATAGTGTCTAAAGCAGACTTGGAGATTCTTATCCATGCATTTGTCTCCAGTAGGTTAGACTACTGCAATGGCCTGCTCACAGGTCTGTCCAAACAGGCTGTAAAACAGCTGCAGTACATTCAAAATGCAGCAGCTCGAGTCCTGACTAGAACCAGGAAGTACGACCACATTAGTCCGGTCCTCAGGTCTCTGCACTGGCTTCCTGTGGCTCAGAGAATAGACTTTAAAACAGCTCTGCTTGTGTACAAATCTCTCCATGGCCTCGCACCAAACTATATTAGTGACATGTTAGTCCCATATGAACCAGCCCGGACTCTGAGGAGCACAGGGACTGGACTCCTGTTAGTGCCCAGAGTCAGAACTAAACATGGGGAGGCTGCTTTTCAGATTCATGCTGCTAAAATCTAGAACAGTCTTCCTGAAGATGTGAGAGAGGCCTCCTCTCTGACAATGTTTAAAACCAGGTTAAATACGGTTCTGTTTAGCTGTGCATACAACTGAGGGATTTTATATTTTTATCTTTTTTTTAATGTACTGTGATTATTTATGATTT